AAAACTTGTGTCGTCAACTTTGTTGGTAGTCTATTAGTTTATCAAAAGTTTATAATGGATCTTTGATTGGCAAAGTGTCCGGAGTTTTTCCCGCATTGGGTTTCTCCGTGAACAATTCTGGTGTTGTTTACTGCTATACTTACTGTTTTTGATATTACTACTGCATTCAAAAATAGGACTAATTGAATTGTTTGACTAATCACCTAAATATAATTAATTTGTGACTTGTTGCTTGTTAATTAAAGTTTTAATTCTGCATTTACACCTAATCACCCTTCTTCTAGGTGTAGTTGGGTCGAATCTTACGTTTTTCAAACTATCACAAGTTGAGGATTGAAACTAAGAATTGATTAGTAGAGTCAGAAATCCAATAAATTCGTCACATTTAAGTTAAACCAGTATTTATTGCTTTCGTAGTTATAAAATGTAGTTGGATACAAAGCAATCATATTTTGTTACAATCACGAATTTAAATTTATCAAATACACTAGAATTGAGTCTTATTCCTTGCAAGACGATAAATATTTCATCACGATTATTACTTGTACAACGACCTCTAACGCATGCGAGATTTTCGTCTAACAATAGTTCGAACGTAAATTCAAAATTATTGCTACGTTTNTCACGATTATTACTTGTACAACGAACTCGTACGCATGCTGGATTTTAACATAACACAATGCCAATTTTGGTGCCAAAATAGTCTTTTACGTACTTCTTATTCTATTTATTCACTGTTAAAGAATCAATTTTTCAATCGATAGAATTATTTATATTATTATCAAGGTGCAAATGAGATTAATCATAGGTTTAACACATATATCGAGCATCAAGATTTCCAACTACAAGAACTCCTTCACGTTTATGTAGTATGCACCAGAAAAATCATCATAGAAATCTGGTGCAATTTAAATAAGTATTTAATTTGAAGAGTTAATTAAATAATATATCCACTAGAATTCCCATGACTGGGACATTTATTTTATAAAACATAATTAGACTTTTATTTTATAAATATAAATTAGACTAGTTTAAAACATATATAAGGAGAGTTTTGAGTATTGTAACTTTGATATTGAATAAATTGATATTTTCTCCGTCTAAATTCTTTCTCTATTCTTCTCCTCTCTTCCTCTTTCTTCATCAACCTCATCCTATTCGGTTGTGTTCAACATTACAAGTTAACAAGGGATAGTTATATAACATAATGTGTATTTATTTGAGGGCTATATTTTTGTGGACCGTCGGAGAACTATTGTCTTGATTTCTTATTGCTAATTCTCCCGTTTAGGAACATTTTGCTATCCTATTCCAATTGAGAATTCATTAATCATTTAAAATTAATTAAATTGATTTCAATGTTGAGATAATATGCTAAGACTCACCAATATACTTCGAGTTAGAGGTGTCGCTCAAACTTAATTACTTAATTTCGATTATATTTCCAGCTCAAGCAATCAAAATAATCAGCTACTTGATATAGAACTTGAAATGTGACTAGTATGCTTATTTATAGATTTTAAATGAATTCGAATCTAGAACCTCAATTTCGATGGTTGAGGTTCAAGAGTCCAACGGTATTTTTCCCATTTCTTTATTGGGCAAGGGAGTGGCTGATGGGCCTTTGACTTCCAAAAATAGGACAAGATTGACCATGAAGATGGCAAAGAACATCTCTCCTTTATTCTTCAAAAACCTCTAATAAATCATTTACATGTAACCAATTTCCATGTCTGATCATTCTTATTTATCCATGAAAGGCCCAGAAATACACGAT